CACACGCTGCTCATCTACAAATCAGACACCCCCTACTCATCAAGGGGGCAGACAAACGCTGCTCATCTACAGATCAGACACCCCCTACTCATCAAGGGGGCAGACACACGTTGCTCATCAACGAATCAGACAACGTCCACTTATAGAGGGGGCGGACGCACGCTGCTCATTGGAGAATCAGACATCAGATGCTCATTAGAAAACCAGACGTTCGTTGCTCATAGGCAGAGACACACTGAGTCCTTTGGCCAACCAATACTCGCAGATCATTGCTGAGTCAATTTCATATCGCCCGTTGTGGAACCGGGATCTTGTTGATCATTGCTCGGGCGAGTGAATTTGAATGGTGAGTGTGGTGTGGACTCTTGATAAACGCTAAGTGTATAAGCTACAGTCTATTCAGTCAACTAATATTTTATACAAACCCACTGTTTAGAATCGGGAGCAATGCTATGACACATCAATTACAGCGTGAAGGAGCAGCGGTCACCAATCAGACTGTATTTAATTTTTATTTTTATTTTATTTTTTTATTTTTATTTTTTTAATTGTTTTTTAATTCGATTTATTTCTGATATTGACGAGTGAGTTCAAATGCAGGCTCTAAAGTGGGGGCATGACAGGCAATGCAATTCCCTAGTCCCTGCCGATCGCTGAGGACCTCGGAAGCAGGCGCAACGAGTGACAGGCGCTGTTGCCCATGGCTTCAGTGAACAGCAGGTGACCCCTCCCCGGGTTTCCTCACACCGTGACGGTATAAGTCACGGGTGCCTGCCCTGCAACGATAGCTTGCGAGGATTCTTGAGCTGCGCCCTCCAGACCCCGACCGCTCGCCGCATTCATTGCAAACGCGAACCTAGGGTCAGGTCTCACAGAGGTCGAGTCTTTCTCCTCGCCTTGCTTTTGGCGAAGCGGTCCCACCCGCCCTTGATGGGAGGCAGTGTTTGGAGGTGTGCGGGCCTCTAGCCCACCGTTTAGACTCACTTCTGTGTGATCTACCAGCATCAGTAGCATGCTATTTTCCTATTTGATCTGGAGCAGACCTGTGTAACTCGTTTCCATCCTATCCGGTTCCTACAGTCTTCCACCCAATACAACGTAGGGTCAGTATAGCTGAATGTTTTTTGTGTATCTTTCAGTCTAAATTCTGCTAGAATGACCGTATGTTGTATTCGGGGGAAGACTATAGTGGGACCAGAGCTACGCACACAAGGACCTTTTTACTTATTTCTGGACGTCATTTCGGTCAGATTCATCGAGGTCCTGTCATAAATGCCATCAGATACATTTAACTTGATTTAAGGTACTGTTAGTGTGAGGTATCCAGCAGTAGGAAGAGGTCTCATTGTGGCAGCTGGTGAGGGCTTAGTTGCACTACTCACCATCCGTCACATTTCGTGGCGGATCCGTGGAGAGTGAAAAATATGAGAATCGTGTCAAACTCGAGGCCTGGTTGCACGTACTGGCTACGAGATTTCTTCTACAGAAACGTTAAAAAAAATTCTCCCCTATGTCGACTCCCCTATGTCGACTCGTGAAGCCCTGCACTCTCCAGAAAGCTGTTTTGTGGCGAGGTCCGAAGACCACCCTCCACAAACCGCCGTGCACAGCGGGGAAACTGAATTCACTCTCCACAAGTTGTGTCCACGGTGTGGCGAGCCCTCTGACACGTCTTGCATTCGCCAAACTTGGCGAGTACGTGCAACCAGGCGCCTACTCGCCAAACTTGGCCTACGGCGGTAGTGCAACTAGGCCCTCAGCGAGATGCGCTCGTAAGCGAAACTGGCTGAGGCTGCCAGGATAACTCCGGGTTGAATTGTGACGTCCCCGGGGTCTGGTCCCACCTACGGCCGTTGAGTTGAGAAACCTCAACGGTGTCACACCATTTACGGCATTTTTTAAATCCGAAAAATGCATTTCAGATTTATTCGTAGCAGTTTTTATTCATTTTAAGAAAATGATGCGAAAATAGTGGTTTCTGTCGAGGATTCTGCGTATCTTGAAGTGCCAGCAGTTTTTATTCATTTTAAGAAAATGATGCGAAAATAGTGGTTTCTGTCGAGGATTCTGCGTATCTTGAAGTACCATATGGGCCTCGCTGCACTACTCTCGAAATGTGCAAAACGAGAGTGAATCTTCCCCTAGAATATGGAAAGATGCACTGCCATGATTTTTGTCT